AGTGTAAACTGAGAGGGAAGCAGTGAGCATGTGATCTGACAGCTGGAGAGATGACTCTGATAGATGTGAATAGACTTACCACAGATGCCACTGTGTCGCTGCCGTACTTAGTATATCCAGCTCTGATTTGGTTTTGTGTTACGGGTATATATACCTCCTATAGTTTCCTCATCGTCATCCCAACACCAGTCTTCGGTGGGGGGATGTCACTGTATGATAATCAGTATTCAATCTGGTAAACTTTCAAAATTAATTTTTATCCAGGTTCCATTTATCAGGCATAAAAAACAATTTAGGCTTACGGATTGTTAAGGTCCAAAAGGAAAATTAGAGATGTTTTTGCTTAAAAATATTAGCCACGGTGGTTGGCTAGCATTGTGGTTGGTGTGTTAGTGCTTCTCATGGATGATGTGGGTTTGGCCCTTAAAAGAGTAGATAAGTCACTGGATAGTTTAATGTTCTTTTATGGAGATTATTGTCGGTTGGTTGGTTTGTTGTTTTACGCCACGCTCAGCAATATTCCGGCTATATGACGGCGATCTGTAAATAATCGAGTCTGGACCAAACAATCCATTGATTGATATCATGAGCATCAATTTGGATCGGTGATTATCAGTCTGTGCCAAAAAATGTGCCAAGATCTTGTATTACCCAACTGCTTCATAAACAATCTTCATTCACTCACTCCAAGAATTGTGCAATTCTAGTTGATTGTCAGAGTGCTCGAAACTAACACTGGTCCACTGTCCGAGCCTAGCATATTTTCTTTAGGACCAGTAGATTGTAATAAATGAAGGTCACATGGTCTAGTGTTATTTTGGGAACAAAGCAATTTAAGTTTTTACGACTTTTGATATCAGCAATAGATCGGGTCTAAACTCAGTTATTTTTAGCACCATTGTGTCTAGTAGAGATCCAAGAGGACCATTCGATTCTTTTTGGTGCTGGTCATTTAGACAGTGTTATGCACTGTTAAATTGTGTGTCATAATGTATGGAACAATGTTCATGCTATCAACCCTTGGTTTGACTGGCCCAGGCTCCTTTAATAATGTTAATGTCACTCCACTTTGATATGGCAGGAATAATGCCATGTCGGATGCATTATCAGCATTCACTCACTCACTCCACAGGTGCTACAAGTGAAAGAGACCGTGTCTCCGTGGTTTAATGGAGGAGCGTCCCTCCAGAGAATGGGGGTTCGTCATGCCAAAAGACGTTATAAGATGGTATTTGTTGTTACCCTGCCTGGTACTCGGCATTAAGGGTCTAAAACAAGGATTGGTCGGTATGGAGTCAGGATACTGTGTGTGAGTGGGGAATTCATGTTAAACTGTGACATGGTATCTCATTGGGCTACAACTATAAAATTGGCAACCACACACACACACACACACACACACACACACACACACACACACACACACACACACACACACACACACACACACACACACACACACAATTTGGTGAAAAAATGGGGAACCGCTGGTTGTAAGAAGTGACTTAATGGATAGAATAAGATAGGTCAGGGTTGGTGATTTGGTTGATTGTGTGTCATCGTACCCTGATGGAGTGGAATTGTTGCTTATGATATCGATCATGGTCCAGACTTGATTACTTACAGGCCTCCGTCATATGGCTGGAGTGCAGCATTAAATAACAAACAAACAAACAAACAAGAAATGGGTTTGAGTGGGAAGACTCAGACTAAATCATTTCACAAATCTAAAAAAAAATAGACACTAAACTGTTCATCAAAATCCCAAGGCAATGAAGGCATCGATATATGATCATGTGACCTTGTTCCCATTATCTCTAAATCTAATTTGAAACCTGATACCCAGGCATATCTACCTCCGACTTCATTGGCACTGAAGAACCAGTTTGAGGTGTGAAGTTTGTATTTACCTGCATGAATCATAATGTTCATTAACTAGGAAGTAATACGTCATCAACACAAGCCCGACTAGCCAGGGGCAGGTCAATGTTGCATGCAGTTTCACTGAGACATGTGCAAGCGGCCATGGTAATGTTTTCTGTTTACAGTATCATTATCAAGTTGTGTTACATCGTATTACTTACTGATTTGTTTTTGAGATAGACACGTTCTCATTGATGTAGATTATTGCATACCATACTTTTTCCTTCAGCAGTGTGATTACGTAGTGATTATATAATGTGCAGCTGTTTGACATTTAAATATGTCGGCGAATGTACCATCACAGAACTTATGTAATCGTTCCTGCATCACCAAACATGAAGTGGTTACCATCAGGATGTCATGATATGTCGTGTGTTGTCCGGACATTGTCATGGTAACATGATGACATTACCCGTAGTCTGATATAACTGTTATGGGGGCAGTGACGTACCCTTGTGGTTAAAGCGATCGCCAGTCACAACGAAAGCCCGGATTTGATTCCCCACATGGGTACAATGTGTGACGTCCATTTTGTGGCGTCCCCTGCTATGATATTGCTGGAACATTGCTAAAAGTTGCATAAAACTAAACTCACTCACTCACTATTTAACTGTTATTAAAGGTAGCAAGAAGGAACTTTGTGTTAAATAACCATCCCTGCATTTAAAAGGGTTTTGTTCTTGTGTTTTTGGTTAACAAGGTTTTTGTTTTTGAGATAATAAGTAAACGTATGAATCCAGAGGTTTTATAGTTAAATTTCAGTGATTTCATCATTTCTTATTATTTGTTGGTGTATCTTGATACCAGTGGTGTCGTTAGTCTGTATTGTGATACATATGGTATCGCATGATATCAGGCGATATTGAGCATCTACTGATTACCCAGAGAACACTGAAGTCTGGACCTGGACTGACCACCAGTCTTAGTCTCAATACATCTTTGTATGGGTTGAGGATTAACTTATATATATGTGTTTGGTTTGGTTTGTTGTTTAACGCCTCACTCAGCAATATTCCAGCTATATGACGGCGGTCTGTAAATAATCGAGTCTGGACCAGACAATCCAGTTATTTATATCATGAGCATCGATCCGCGCAATTGGGATCGATGACATGCATCAACCAAGTCAGCGAGCCTGACCACTCAATCCCGTTAGTCGCCTTTTACGACAAGCAAAGTCACCTTTTACGGCAAGCATTATATATATGTCTCAAACCATAGACTTATATATATGTAGGTCTATGGTTTGAGACATTGTTTGATTTGTTTGTTTGTTGTTTAACTTCACACTCCAGTTATATGACGGCTGTCAGTAAACAATCGAGTATGGACCAGACGGGGGCACAGGTGGCCCAGTCATCTTAGGCGCTGCAATTCGCTGTGCAGAGTTGTGCCCCTTGGGCACGCCAGAAACCTATGATTGTGGGTTCGAATCCCGGTAGACACAATTTATGGATAACAACTTCTTTAATACTGTAAAGGGACGTTTCGATATAGATCCTTATACTGTTGTCAAGTCTTTGGGTATGACATGACCAGGGATTGAAACCTGGACCCCTGCTCTCCGGGCGGGCTACTACCAGACCACACTGAGGCGGTCTCATTGTTAGAGAGTTATCTCCATAACTTCTTGTACTTGCTGCCAAGGTGTCTCAGTCCTGTGTGCAGGATCAAGCTAACAAGGTGACCTTGACCTTTCAGGGTCAGGGTTATCATATGACCTGCTTGTTTGCGAGATATCTCCCAAACCTCTGCATGGATTTGGTTTTATAAATGGAAATAAATGGAGCTTGTTATTAATACATGAAAGTGATTATCATGCTCTGCTGTTATCTCTCACCAGAAAACAAAATTACCAGTTATTTAGATTGGGCTTCCCAAATGGCCATATAGCCTGACTTCCCAGAAGTTTCAGTGTGGCTGGCACACTCTAATTACTCCTTACATTTAAAACACAAATTAGTATAATCAGGTTAGATCAAAATATCTTTCATGAAAATTACAAACAGAGCATATGAAATGGTATCCATCCACACCAATTATTGTGTCCTGTTTGCAGTGGTAGGGGGTGGGATTAGCCACTTTAGTTTTGTAATTTGTGCAGGGAATGCACAAATTGTTCTGACATTATTGAAATCACAATGTTGTTACATGTAACCAGTGAGTAGTCATCAAGTAGGGGCTTGCCATCAGGTAGCCTAGTGGTTAAAGCGTTGGCTTGTCACCCTGAAGACCTCATGGGTACAATGTGTGAAGCCCAATTCTGGTGTCCCCCGCCGTGATATTACTGGAATATTGCTAAAAGCGGCGTAAAACCATACTCACTCACTCACTCATCAAGTAGGTTACTGAGGTAAACCTGGGACTCATGTTTCCATGGCAACAAAGTATTCCTGAGAGTCCCCAGGACTCATGTATAGATAGATCAAAGTACATCCCTGCCGTTAAATTTCCCTGCTGATTTTCCATCATGATTTATCCTCTGAATCCTGACTGGGTGGTGGTGTGTCATGGCCGACATTTTGATTTTTCACCAGGATGAGGATCTGAGCCTGTGACACAAACGTGTTGGTCGGAATCTTGTTGTATTGACTGCTAACACTGAAAACCAGGGCTTGTGGGTTCAGTGACTCATTCCTTGTATTCCCTGCCATGACATTGATGATGAGAGTGTTGCTCACTCACTCATTTTAAATACTCACTCACTCACTCACTCACTCACTCACTCACTATCATACTCTCAACCCCACTCACTCACTATCTATCTCACTCACTCACTCACTCACTCACTCACTCACTATCTCACTCATTCACTCACTCACTCACTCACTCTCTCACTCACTTTCATACTCTCAACCCCACTCACTCACTATCTCACTCTCAACCCCACTCACTCACTCACTCACTATCTCACTCTCAACCCCACTCACTCACTCACTATCTCACTCTCAACCCCACTCACTCACTCACCCAGCAGGCCCACGCTCATGCAACCACCCACACACACCAACTCACTGAGCAGCACACTCATAAAGTTATTAGTTACAAAAAGTTTGATATTGTTATTTTCCTTCCAGGCCCGACCCAAGCTTGTGGAGCCGATCGACTATGAGACTTACGTTGTGCAGCACAAGGTCTTACTCCACAATGATCCACAACGGGACATGCTCAACTTCCCCCATGATGATGTGGAAGTGCCGGTGAGTAATAATAATGATGATAATGAAAATAATAGCACAGGCAGGCATGAAATATTTCCTTCAAAAGTCAGAATTCCATCCTTCCAGACCATTATGACATCATAATCAAATGACATCGCTCATATCTTTCAGGCTGAATACAGGAATATGGTTAGATGTACTTCTTACACTCAAGATGTCAGTCATTGGTTTTACTGGCCATCATAAAGCTAGAATCATGCTGCGTGTGACGTTAAACAAACAGAACAAGCCTTCATTTTAGAAACAAAATTTCAAGAGCCCCTTATAAACATTAATGAAAGTACCAGATATTGTCTGTTGTATCCATGATTTCTGTCGTGTAATCAAGCTTACATTAGTTATTCAGGTGGAAGAGGCATTCTTTAAATGTTTTAATAGGCATCCATCCTAATGGTAGCTGTGTGTGCACTTAATACTTCAAATATGGTATTGCTGAAGCCCTGAATGAGTCATTTGTCTGCTCAAAGCTTTACGTTTTATGCCATCTCAACGCACTGTTTAACATGTTTAATTTGAAAAATGCATCTTTTGGGAGTTGAGGCAATCATGGATAATTGAAGATTTCTACAACTGTGAAAATTCATAAATATTTGTATTTAAGTTGCGGAACAAGTGGTTTTAATCATTTGCACCAGGTTTTCATGGTTGCAAATGTAATTTGCCCCCAGAGGCAAGGTGACTCAAGCGGTTGGTCAGTTATGAGTTGTTCTCTGTAGGGGAAGACACGCCACACTGTGTCTTGCTGTGTCTCGCTGTGTCTCGCTGTGTCTCGCTGCTGTCTCGCTGTGTCTCGCTGTGTCTTGCTGTGTCTCCCGTGATGCCTGCTGGTTTCACATATCCCAAAACGAAATATTGGGTTCTGTGATGGTTCTGTGCTGGTTTTTAAACAATAATTTAGTTTTATGGTTTACAGTGTTGAGGTGCTTGTGATCTTCTGTGGTATTTGAGTCTAGGGACCCCTTAAATCTTCAACTTTTAACTTAAGGGTAATGACGAAGATTTCATCCCCATCTTAGTTCTATCAGCCTATACTCATCCCATCTCAGTTCTATCAGCCTATACTCATCCCCATCTTAGTTCTATCAGCCTATACTCATCCCCATCTTAGTTCTAACAGCCTATACTCACCCCATCTAAGTTCTATCAGCCTATACTCATCCCCATCTTAGTTCTATCAGCCTATACTCATCCCTACTCAGCTCTAGCAGCCTATACTCATCCCATCTCAGTTCTATCAGCCTATACTCATCCCCATCTTAGTTCTAACAGCCTATACTCATCCCATCTCAGTTCTATCAGCCTATACTCATCCCATCTCAGTTCTATCAGCCTATACTCATCCCTGTCTCAGTTCTATCAGCCTATACTCACCCCATCTCAGTTCTATCAGCCTATACTCATCCCCATCTCAGTTCTATCAGCCTATACTCATCCCCATCTTAGTTCTATCAGCCTATACTCATCCCCATCTCAGTTCTATCAGCCTATACTCATCCCATCGCAGTTCTATCAGCCTATACTCACCCCATCTCAGTTCTATCAGCCTATACTCACCCCATCTCAGTTCTATCAGCCTATACTCATCCCCATCTCAGTTCTATCAGCCTATACTCATCCCCATCTCAGTTCTAACAGCCTATACTCACCCCATCTCAGTTCTATCAGCCTATACTCATCCCCATCTCAGTTCTATCAGCCTATACTCATCCCCATCTTAGTTCTATCAGCCTATACTCATCCCATCTCAGTTCTATCAGCCTATACTCACCCCATCTCAGTTCTATCAGCCTATACTCACCCCATCTCAGTTCTATCAGCCTATACTCACCCCATCTCAGTTCTATCAGCCTATACTCACCCCATCTCAGTTCTATCAGCCTATACTCATCCCCATCTCAGTTCTATCAGCCTATACTCATCCCCATCTCAGTTCTATCAGCCTATACTCACCCCATCTCAGTTCTATCAGCCTATACTCCTCTCCTCTTCAGTTCTTAAATTGACACTTAAGTGTTCCTTTTTATAATCCTTTTATTTAACCTACAATACTTTATTTCGGATACTTTGTGTTACCTAACTCAGTTCTAACAGCCTATACTCACCCCATCTCAGTTCTATCAGCCTATACTCATCCCATCTCAGTTCTAACAGCCTATACTCACCCCATCTCAGTTCTATCAGCCTATACTCATCCCCATCTCAGTTCTATCAGCCTATACTCATCCCCATCTTAGTTCTATCAGCCTTTACTCATCCCTACTCAGTTCTATCAGCCTATACTCATCCCATCTCAGTTCTATCAGCCTATACTCATCCCCATCTTAGTTCTAACAGCCTATACTCACCCCATCTCAGTTCTATCAGCCTATACTCACCCCATCTTAGTTCTAACAGCCTATACTCACCCCATCCCATCTCAGTTCTATCAGCCTATACTCATCCCATCTCAGTTCTAACAGCCTATACTCATCCCCATCTTAGTTCTAACAGCCTATACTCACCCCATCTCAGTTCTATCAGCCTATACTCATCCCATCTCAGTTCTATCAGCCTATACTCATCCCATCTAAGTTCTATCAGCCTATACTCACCCCATCTTAGTTCTATCAGCCTATACTCATCCCCATCTCAGTTCTATCAGCCTATACTCATCCCCATCTCAGTTCTATCAGCCTATACTCACCCCATCTCAGTTCTATCAGCCTATACTCATCCCATCTAAGTTCTATCAGCCTATACTCATCCCATCTAAGTTCTATCAGCCTATACTCACCCCATCTTAGTTCTATCAGCCTATACTCATCCCCATCTCAGTTCTATCAGCCTATACTCATCCCCATCTCAGTTCTATCAGCCTATACTCACCCCATCTCAGTTCTATCAGCCTATACTCATCCCCATCTCAGTTCTATCAGCCTATACTCATCCCCATCTTAGTTCTATCAGCCTTTACTCATCCCTACTCAGTTCTATCAGCCTATACTCACCCCATCTCAGTTCTATCAGCCTATACTCATCCCATCTCAGTTCTAACAGCCTATACTCACCCCATCTCAGTTCTATCAGCCTATACTCATCCCCATCTCAGTTCTATCAGCCTATACTCATCCCCATCTTAGTTCTATCAGCCTTTACTCATCCCTACTCAGTTCTATCAGCCTATACTCATCCCATCTCAGTTCTATCAGCCTATACTCATCCCCATCTTAGTTCTAACAGCCTATACTCACCCCATCTCAGTTCTATCAGCCTATACTCACCCCATCTTAGTTCTAACAGCCTATACTCACCCCATCCCATCTCAGTTCTATCAGCCTATACTCATCCCATCTCAGTTCTAACAGCCTATACTCATCCCCATCTTAGTTCTATCAGCCTATACTCACCCCATCTCAGTTCTATCAGCCTATACTCATGCCATCTAAGTTCTATCAGCCTATACTCATCCCATCTCAGTTCTATCAGCCTATACTCACCCCATCTCAGTTCTATCAGCCTATACTCACCCAATCTCAGTTCTATCAGCCTATACTCATCCCCATCTTAGTTCTATCAGCCTTTACTCACCCCATCTCAGTTCTATCAGCCTATACTCACCCCATCTCAGTTCTATCAGCCTATACTCATCCCCATCTTAGTTCTATCAGCCTATACTCATCCCATCTCAGTTCTAACAGCCTATACTCATCCCCATCTCAGTTCTATCAGCCTATACTCATCCCCATCTCAGTTCTATCAGCCTATACTCATCCCCATCTTAGTTCTATCAGCCTTTACTCATCCCCATCTTAGTTCTATCAGCCTATACTCACCCCATCTCAGTTCTATCAGCCTATACTCACCCCATCTTAGTTCTATCAGCCTATACTCACCCCATCTCAGTTCTATCAGCCTATACTCACCCCATCTCAGTTCTATCAGCCTATACTCCTCTCCTCTTCAGTTCTTAAATTGACACTTAAGTGTTCCTTTTTATAATCCTTTTATTTAACCTACAATACTTTATTTCGGATACTTTGTGTTACCTAACTCAGTTCTAACAGCCTATACTCACCCCATCTCAGTTCTATCAGCCTATACTCATCCCATCTCAGTTCTAACAGCCTATACTCACCCCATCTCAGTTCTATCAGCCTATACTCATCCCCATCTCAGTTCTATCAGCCTATACTCATCCCCATCTTAGTTCTATCAGCCTTTACTCATCCCTACTCAGTTCTATCAGCCTATACTCATCCCATCTCAGTTCTATCAGCCTATACTCATCCCCATCTTAGTTCTAACAGCCTATACTCACCCCATCTCAGTTCTATCAGCCTATACTCACCCCATCTTAGTTCTAACAGCCTATACTCACCCCATCCCATCTCAGTTCTATCAGCCTATACTCATCCCATCTCAGTTCTAACAGCCTATACTCATCCCCATCTTAGTTCTAACAGCCTATACTCACCCCATCTCAGTTCTATCAGCCTATACTCATCCCATCTCAGTTCTATCAGCCTATACTCATCCCATCTAAGTTCTATCAGCCTATACTCACCCCATCTTAGTTCTATCAGCCTATACTCATCCCCATCTCAGTTCTATCAGCCTATACTCATCCCCATCTCAGTTCTATCAGCCTATACTCACCCCATCTCAGTTCTATCAGCCTATACTCATCCCATCTAAGTTCTATCAGCCTATACTCATCCCATCTAAGTTCTATCAGCCTATACTCATCCCCATCTCAGTTCTATCAGCCTATACTCACCCCATCTCAGTTCTATCAGCCTATACTCATCCCCATCTCAGTTCTATCAGCCTATACTCATCCCCATCTTAGTTCTATCAGCCTTTACTCATCCCTACTCAGTTCTATCAGCCTATACTCACCCCATCTCAGTTCTATCAGCCTATACTCATCCCATCTCAGTTCTAACAGCCTATACTCACCCCATCTCAGTTCTATCAGCCTATACTCATCCCCATCTCAG